CAAAGTTCTATTTTTCCTTTAAATAGTACATTTTCTCAGTTTAAAACTTTGATATATCTATTTTATATTAATAAAATATGGGTTTATGAGATTTGCCAACCATTGCATTCAGTTTTATGTAGATTTTACAAATCATCCCAACTTTTTTATTTTGGAATTGGGGTTATACATGACTGTATAATACTGATCCTCTTGCTACAGTACTTTTGGTTACTGACCCAATACAAGTGTGTTGATAGGGACTTTTCTCTGACATTGCTGATCTGTATATGTGTACCAGGTCAGTTACTCAGAATGAGTTGAAGCAAGAGCATAGCAGCCAGGCAACTAGCCATTGCATCATCCTAATTTCCCTTGTTACAGGTTTACTGTGAAACCCACTCTCTTCTCCTATACCTTTTATATGATCTTCAGGGTAAAAGTACTAAAAAGTTAGGGACAGTTGGGGACAGCCTTTTATTCATCATCTCAAAATATCAATGAAGGAGCTGCCATGACCACATGCCTATACTGTACTTGGGAATGAATGATACAGGAGTTAAGACGTAACACTTATTTCAAAGTACACAAATACTTTCACAACTGGGAAAGAGGACAACGCCTGTCTTCCCAACCTTCATTCCATATGGCATTTGCTGCAAACTGACAGATGCACTTTAACACATCTGTGATCTCTCCATCCTTTTAACACATTTAACTTGTTTCTGGGAAAGTCATGTGTCAGAGCTTGCTGGACATCTGGGAATGTTTTTTCTCGTTTGTGTGACCATACCTGGGAACTTAACAGCTGCCCCATCAGTCATATGCCCCGTGCATCTTAAAGTTTTCCCTGATTTGAGATTAGGTCATATTCAGAATGTGATGATATTAACTTGCCTGTATTTAAGCAAATCTGTTTAAAATAAAATTGGCAGTGCTGTGTGGGTCTATTATCGCTAATAATGACCGTGGTCAGCTGGTTATACATTTTCCCAGGCATGATGCAAGGTAATAGCTGTTTATGGTGCCTTGGTTTCTGTTCTCATGAGTGTTAATGGGTACAAGGGTGTATGAGTGGATTTTTGTCAGTTTTCTGTCTGTCTTGGGTTTTCATGGCTTTGCAGGTGGAGGGCTTACCTAATGCCAGCATGTTTATTGAGTTTTGTTTTTGCTTTAATTTTTTGTACTCTTTAAAGTGGTACTAACCCCAAAACCAAAAATGTATTATACTGCAGCCTACCAATCATTAGATGTGGTGGCTGCATCAGTTCCTATGTCAGTGAGACACCACTTTGGATGAATGAGCCTGGACACAGCAGAATTGTCAGTCTGGGGGATGGGAGTGTTATTAATATTTTTTTTATTGTACAGGATTTATATAGAGCCAACAGTTTGCTCAGTGCTTTACAACATGAGATCAGACTACCGTTATGATACAAATCAGTACAGGAGGAATCAGAGTACCATGCTCTTTAGAGCTTACAATTTAAAAATTGTTAAATGTATTAGTAGATATGAATACAAATAACAAATTGAAGCCAAACTCCAGCTCACACTTTATAGTCAGTTACCGCAAACAGTTGTTTTCTTTTTAGTGATAAAGATTTTACATGAATAAAAGCTGTTAATTTTAATCATCCCTGCCAGTGTAAATGGATGGTCTCATCCATATAAGCTGATACATGCTGCTGGACTGCTTCAGCTTCTGAAAGACAGCAGAGTTGCTAGCTGATTCACCAGATGAAAAAAGAAGAAAGAGCCAAAAAAAGAAACTAATACAGCCATCACATCTAAGAATTGGTAAGCTGCAATAATATATGAAAACAGAAGGATTGGCCGCACACCACAGCTAGATGCTATCCAATAACGAGTATTTTATGCCAACAATGTCAGCATACATGCAGCAGATACAAAAGATGTTGATGCATTTCACACAGTAACACGGTTAATCATAACAAGGGGCTGTTGTGAGCTCTATCACTTAAATACTCAAATATAAACCTGTTCAAGGGCCCTGCCTAATCCACAGCATTAACCTCTTCTTGACAAGTACCTTTTAGTGAATACTATAAAACCAATACACAAGTCGACATTAAATATGCAAAAGAAAAAAAACAACATTTATACCATTTAAAATCACAGGAAAGGTAATAAAACAAATCATGGCCCTGACCTCCGTAAGGGGTAGGAGGGAAAAACCAAAAGGCAACCACCCCAAACTGATCAATGATGCATCCCATACAGAAGAGAGGTAGACCAGTGAGTCACTCATAAAAACAAGTGACATCAAACTCAAAATTGAGACCATCTGGTATATGGGTTTGGAGGTGAGAAATTAAAAAAACAACCTCTCTCCTGCATAGGAGGTGGGAAAGCATCACCACCCCTCTTCTGAGCATGCAACTTTTCAATACTCTGAACAGACACCACTGAGATCGCCTGCATGGCAGTTGTTAAAAAAATGTCGATCCCTAACTTGTTAAATGTCTCAATACTGTGTAAATGCTCCAGAAAATGATCATAATGGTGCCCAATCGTCCTTCCCACATACGGGACTTGACATATCTTACATGTAACAACATAAACCACATGTCGAGTGTTGAAGTTAAAAAAAAAAAAAAAAGGAGCCAATTTTTTAAACTCTTATCTCGACTAGAAGAATGTAAGGTGTCACCCCCCCCCTCCCCCCCCCCCCCCAATATATGAGGGCAACAGGGGCAACCAGAGCCACCACAATGGTAATTGCCCTTAAAATGTAACTATGTGGTGGATTGTACACTTGTTGGATCAGAGAAACTAGGTGACCGTTGCCTTTGGCACCACATTAATGCCTTCTTTGAATAGTTCCGCACAAACTGGATCATTAAATAATAAGGGCATGTATCTCTTTACGATTCGTCTTATTTGGCTAAATTCCAAACTATAGAGCATAGGCGGATTAACTTCATTCTATCATTCTTACAATTCTATTTATTATCCCGTAGTAAATCAGCCCTATTTTCAGTTTCTTCCTGTAAGCTCTGTATATTATCCACTTAGGGAACCCCCTTTCAATATAATGTTTTCTTTGGGGTTTAATACTGCTTTAAGTTAATTCTCAAATGTTAGTCAGTTTAGTTGGGCTATTTAAGGCTTAAACTTGCTATAAAAGTCATTTAAATGTGGTACATCCTGCAGTAAGGGCTTTATGTATAAATACATTGATGTGCCATTGCTGTGAAGTACCTCTGTCAGGAAAATATCACATTATGGCAACTAGATGGAGCTGACAATCACATAAAATAAACCTATGAAGCAAATTACAGGCAAAATTACCTTTTGTGATGGCTGTGCAAATGCCTGAGACATTTCCACGGTGAATTTTTTTTTTATAGAAATAGATCCCTAAGTGTGTAGAATTAGTTACACACCTCACAAAAAAAACTTAAAAACTGCAAATGAAATAAACATTTTTTTTTCGTTCATAAAAGAGCAAAGTTGATCTATTTTTTTGGGAGGAAAAAGAATATAAGCAAAGACCCATTTCTTGCGACATAAGCAAAACATAAAGTTGTACGTTGTCCCCTACCTTTCTTCTCGGCTTGGTTAGTAGTTAAACATCACAGTTTAAAGAATGCCAATTTCCACCAGTTTCCTGTTGGTAAATCCTTTTGTTGTTTTCATCTTAAAATATGATTTATATAATTTAAAGACACCATCCTTTCTCATCCTTCTTAACAGTACCCACCTAAGATAACTGACCTGGTCCAGGGATTAGAACTGGAAGTAGAGAGCCTGTTAAAAAAAAAAAAAAGAAATCCCCACAGCCACCAGTCAGATTGTTTCCAGGCAGGTTTGATATCAGTGACTGAGGGGTAAGCAACATGTTGATATGTCTGACCTTTAGTTTTTATCTCTGGAGAAGAGAGGAATCTTGAGAGATAGATATAGGTATATAAGTAGAATTTTGATAGAAAATTATTTGAGAATGTGTAGTACAATTCTCAGTACACATTCGAAAGTAGTTTAAGATTTTAATTTGCTTTTTAACATTTGATTTTGGGATGAATGGACTTCACCGAACAAAAACCACATACATTGTTAGAAATGTGTACATTTGAAAAAAAATGTTTCCATCCTGCTCCTTTGAATTTTCTCCTCACTGTGGTTGTAAATAAATGCCAATTTTACCCTAGCAATGATTAGGAAAACAGACAAACGTTCTTAGTGTTCTTACAATTAAAAAAAATTAAAATTCGACTAGTGTATACCCAGCTTTAGGAAGGATGTAAAAGCAGTGACAACAAAGTAGAGATTTAGCCTACTAGGTCACTTCTTCAGATCATAAAAAGAAGTTCACAAAAACCTTACAATTCATATACTTTTAATAAATATATCCATTCTGGATTTAACAATACAATGGGTAAATCATGTATTGATAACATACTGTTACATTCCCAGCCTCTGAAGAACTACTTCTTGGAAAATACTGATGGTTACCAGTTGGTGCTGATTTCAGTGTCCTTCATGCTTCAGCAAGCTTAATGTAGTAGCATTAGTTCCATCTTTGTGTGTTTTTAGTGTGTGTCTTCTGCATGCTTCTGTAAACATCTGAGTGCACCCAGTGTGATTAGGAGACTTTTTCATGTTGCCAGTACTAACAAACTGGTTTTGTTGCCGAAGGTGTTTGTCATTTTGTTGCACATATATGATTTTTTTGTTTTGATAAGAACACTAGCCTATATGTGATTACTATGTATATCATGAGGAGACCTCTTTATGCATCCCCCACAATTCTTCTTGCAGGAGAAGGGGGGTGTATAGCTCTACAAATACAGTCTATGTATAAAATGTTGTGGTGTCCTTTATTAGCCTCCAGTGCACAGGCCCATGAAATGTCTTCATCAGTTGAACTTGGAACCCCATACCTCCTAACCAAAACACTCAGATGTTTAGAGAATTGTGTGGGTCGTGGTGGTTGTGATTGGACAGGTGACGAACCCTGAGGTTTGCCTTTGCTGATTATCATTTTATACTGCAAGGTGTGGATCCCGAATTATATGCGTTGACAACCTCAAAAGTGGAATGCTCAAGTGCCACAAACAAAGTGACGGACGCATTTGCAAGACTTATGTCTACAGCAGAGACAACGAGCACGTCTGCAAGGTGAGTTAAATTGAGTGACAAGTTATTCTTGTAAAGATTTGTTATATCCTAAAACAACATTAATGCCATTTATCATGGTTGTCCTATTAAACACTTTGGTGTAGTGGTAGTATTTTGTATTTCAGTAGAGGCCCTTGATAAAGTAACTGAAGGGCTCCTAGTCAACAATAGTGGGACAGTCATCTTAGTGTTTACATTATTGGGAGACAAAACCCCAAAGCAGTGAAATCATAGTCTTTGGGTTTTTTTTTTTTTTTTACAGAGAATCGTACTTTATGATCCCATGCCAATGCCAGATTTTAGCAGAATGTAGCAAATTTTCCACCTTAAGTTTTCTATCTTAAGTGAAAACCACTCAAAGTAATTGGTCATTTTGGTATGGACCACCTGAAGTTAACTGCAGATCTGGACTTTTCTTGGTAAATGTCAACTTGACTGAGCCCCTTCCTTCCTTCCTTCCTTCCTTGAAACCCTCCTATAGGCTAGTGAGGCCATCCAACACATTAAAGGCTACGAGATTGGAATGGGATGCCCAAGCTGAAGTTTTATGAAAAACAAAAAACTTTGGGATTTGCATATAACTTGAGTAGTCTTTATTACTAGATATACAGCTTTGTTTTCACTTTCAAAATTCATTGGATGTAGGATTTGATTGTTTTTTTTTTTCTAAAGCCAGCTTCCGACCCATCCCTACTATGTAAGACAAAAAAAAAAAATCTGGGCTTTAGATATACTTTAAGTATGCAGGCTGCACTTTCTGCTTAGTACTGTTACAGAGTGATTGCACTATAATGGTCCTCTCAAAGTTCTATTGTATTAATCCACTCAGACTTGCGTTGGCTATACATGGAGTGAATTTCATCCGCATCCTAATGAGTTGGCTGAAATTTGCTACCTCCCATTGTAGATTGAAAAATCCAATGAGCTGGCTGGAATATTGTAAACTGAACTGCTGCTGCATCCAATTGGATGCAGGCGCACTGTTCAGGTATTTTGACAGCTGGTGGAGGCTGACTGTCAAAATACAATAGCTGCAGCAAGAGTTTCATCTATCTGCCCTGTGTAGCATGGATGGAGAAATCTGTAAAAATATATATGTGTATGACCAAATTTATTGGAAACTAGATGACTATGAACTGATCTCAGCAAAACTGTTAATTGCACAGCCTCTATACAGCTAATCTCTAGTGGGAGAATCTGCCAATCTGAGTATGCAATGCAAACATGAAACTATAGAACCAGAAGTACATAAAATGTGAAAGACACATGAAGGATTAGTTTCAGGTAACGCTTACAATAACCCAAAATTATTATTCCTGGAAACCTGGCATTCTTTATATCTCTAGGGAATGTAAATTTATAGAATCACATTAGTACATCCGTTTTAGGCAGGGTGACGGCTTCTCTTTCATGATTTATTCATTTAGAGTGTTTCCTCTTTATGTAATATTTAGGGCATCTAACTGACCATTTAACAAAGCTCCAGTGTACTGAGATCAACAACAACGTTTCTTTGAATAAAATCATGGTTTATAGGCCCCTGAAATACTAATAGTGATAAATACAGCACATGGGATGTATATACGAATTTACATGTAGGAAAAAAGGTCTGAATCAGGAACAAATAAAGCCATCACAAATAGTTGTTAAGGATGTCAAGGGAAGGAAGGGTACCCTTTTTTGCAAAATAAATCTTTATCTTCTACCTCTAAAACTAAGACAAGTTCTTTTTGTTTCTCCCAGACCTCTAAGTCCAAGTCCAGGGCTCTGTTTCATCACAAACCTTAGATTCTCAAATCTTCTGAGCCTGGAAGCAGGTCCTCCTCAAAATGAGGGGATTCCTGCACTTCTCAGAGTAGGTGGATGTTTGTTAGCCTGTTGCGACCACCTGGACCAAAAGCATCTTTGATGTGTTGGTAAAGGATGTGGTGTCTAGGGCCTTCAAGCTAGAATATCAATCTCTACCTCTTCATGTTGTCAAACTTGCCAATGTGTCTGCAAAGAGACGTCATACTGCTCTAGCACAACTTTTCTCTCAGAGCTGTTGCCATTGTTCCAGTACAGGAAAGGTTTCAAAGTCTCAACTGAAACCTATTAACTCCTCCCAAAGCAAATGGGGGCATATGCCTATCTCTGGATCTAAAGCACTCAATGACTTCATTCAAGAGCAGTGTTCTGCATGGAATCTACTAGATCAGCCATTGCTTTCCTCCATCCAGGAGACTTTCTGGCATTTGTGAACATTTACAGATGCCTAATTGCCTACTCCCATCTTTACAGCGCATAGATGCGACCTGTAATTTGCTGTGGGCACTGAACGCTACTAATTTTTATTGACCTTCTATTTGGTATATACACTGTAACTTGAGTATTTACCAACATGTTAGGCCCACATGTTAGCCTTGCTATGCTCACAGGCATCCCCCATATATGGAAACCTGGACGACCTCCCTCTTAGAAAACATTTTGCCAACAAACTATCCTTACTTGTCAGAGGTTTGGTTGGATTCTGAATCTCCATAAGTCAGTGCTCATTGCTTAAAGTATCTAGGTATCCTTCTAGATACTGCTCAGTCCAGGGTTCTCCTTCCGCAAAACAGACTCTTGACTCTCCACTCCGATGTTCGGACTCTGCAGTTTAGGAGCCATCCAACTTTCCACTTTTTCAGGGTTCTGGGCTTAAGGGTAGCATCCTTTGAGGCAATTGTGTGCCCAATTCTACTCCAGAACGTTGTAACCCTATTGGTGCAGGGACTTGGTTGCTGGAGGCAGCTCATCTCCTGAGAAACCTATTGGGGCTCAGAATAATTTGGTGATCTCTTAAACGCTGGATTTCTCAACTGCAAAATCTTCTAAACTGCATTCAGTTGGACAGTGCCACAGAGGTGGCATATATTAACAATCAGGGAGGAGCCAGAAGAATTTATTCTCAAAGAGAAACTCGCCAGATTCTGGCTTGGGTAAAACTTTACATTCCAGCGCTGATCACCATGCATATTCAAGGTGTGGAACATTGGGAGGTGGACTTCCTCAGTCAACAATTTCTGATCTCAGGAGAATGGTTTCTTAACACAGAGGTGTTTTGGGGAACACCAAATGTGGACCTACTATCTTCCGGATTCAGCATCAGACTGAGCAAATTTGTCTCTAGGTCCAGAGCGCCTCTCACTATAACAGTAGGATTGTTTAAACCTGATCTTGACCTTTCCTCCTCTGAAACTTCTTCCTCATCTGTGCCACTGGTTTGAGATTGAGACCATCCAGTGATGGTTATCACACCAAACTGGCCCAGAGAGATATAGAACTCAAAACTCCTCATACTCCCTGCAGATTCTCCATTGGCTCTTCAAGTCTCCCAAAGACTGGTTTATCATCCTGCTTTCATGGTTGCTGGCTTTAGCGGCATGGCTGTTGAAGCCCATGTCCTAAAAGATTGAACTTATCCGATTCCGGTATTCAAAATGCTCCAGAAAGCTAGCAAATCCACCTCTTGGAAAATGCACTTTACATGGTGCAAAGCATTAAAATTCCACCCCAGAAAATATTCAGTGTGAAGTATCCCGAATTTTCTCCAATCTTGTCTAGATCAATATTAGACCTTGAGTTCTCTTAAAGGTTTTCTGACCCTATGTCCTTTTATGAACAATTAGGGGTAGGATTACAGCAAGGATTTTGACTTGCTGTAAAATCCTTTTCTTGGATTTAATTAAGGGACACCCCTCTGTCTGATCATTTTTACTACTGCTTCTGCACAAAACTGAAGCATCATGGGAGTGGGAAGGGTCTGTCTAAAAGCTTTTTGGGTACCATTGGTCAATCTCTTGTATTTAGCAATATAACCCAGTTATCTCGGAATTTCTTCTGACACTCTATCCCTTAATGAACACCAAGAAAAGAATTTTATGGTAAGTAAAAAAAACAAAACAAAAAAAACGGGTTTTTTTGGTTTTTGAGTAGGTAAGAAATAAAACATTTTGTCAAAATTTTTTGCAAATAAGATCTGCGCAAACGGTGCAGAAATGTAGAATAAAATAATTTTAATAAACAATATCTCACATCAAGGAAAGCATCCATAGATCAGTGTCAAGATACCCCAAAGTCACTGGAGGAAGGGCATTCTTATGTAGTATAGGTAATGCATTTCAGGGTCTTATCACTTTGTCTAGCCTACCTGCTATACTCGCTAAGCAGGTTTAAATCTCAGGGATGAGAGGACCACAAAGCCTAGGCTAGCAAAAAAACAATATATGATTTAAACATAATTAAACCTTACGTGCACTGAGTCAGCATGGAGGCACCCAGGCAGGCTTGCTTCTGAACCGCTGCTCTGTGTGTCCACTCACACAAGGGCCATGGCCTGGTCCTGCCTCCGCTCTCTCCTTATTGGTTCACTTGCTGTAATTGACAGTTGCAGGAGCCAATGGCTACTGGTGCTGTATCAGCCAATGAAGAGGGAGAGACCCAGGGGAGCCGAGGATCCTGTGCAGATCACTGGATCGAGATGGGGCTCAGGTACATTTTAGGGGGGCTGCTGTGCCTGCACATATAGTATTTTTTACCTTCATGCATAGAATTCATCTTTAGTTTTCACAACCACTTTAATTTTGACAAATATGGTTTAGATAAATTAAAAAAAAAAAAAACAAAACAGTATACGATAAAATTGTGCTCGGATCTCTTCAACTCAACTTAGTGTATTTGTTCAGTTCAGAATTTTAAGAATATTGTTACCATGTACTGTTTTTGTTTTTTGTAAGTATGTGCTGCATAACTCTTGCTGGCCAAGTGCACATAAGGATAAGTTATGTCTACATGCTGATCATTGATTGTAAACAAGATCTCTTAATTTGCACACACAAAAGTATTTTTCCCAACAAATTCATTCAAGGTCATGTTGCAAAAATGAATACACCCCAGTGAAAGTCTTAAAAGCAAAGCTAAATTTTAGACAACAAAATCCTAATTAACAAGAATTCAACTACAGGCAAGTATAATTATTCACTAAACAGGTGTCCAGCAGACAGTTGATTATAAAAGGGCATTACTTAACAAAGAAAATCCCTTCCCATTTCATGCTGTCAGCAATGGCACCTCTTCGAAGAGAAATTTCACAAGGCCTGAGAAAGAAAATAATTTCTTTACACAAGAAAGGTGAAGGCTACAAGAAGATCAGCAAAGCTTTACTTATCTGTCAAAATACTGTAGCAAAAGTGATTAAAAAGAATTTAACAAAGATGGAACTGCATCCATCTCACTGAGACGTCCAGGCTGTCCATGGAAGTTAACACCTCTACAGGAGCATCTTCTGATGAGAAGGGTTGAAGAAAATTGCCAGGCAAGTTCACTGCAGTTAGCTAAAGAAGTAGAAAGCCAAACTGGGGTGATTGTTTCCCATGACACAATATGGCTTACACTGCAGAGGAATGGCATGCATGGGTGTCGTCCACAAAGGAAACCTCTCATAAAACCCATGCACAAAAAAGCCTGCCTAGAATTTGCCAGGGCCCATGGTGAAAAAGAAGAAATCTACTGGGACTCTGTACTCTGGAGTGATGAGTCCAAGATAATTGTTTTTGGAACTGATGGCTTCAAAACTGTATGGTGTCGCAAAGGTGAGGAGTACAAAGAAAAATGCATGGTAATTACAGTGAAACATGGTGGTGGCAGTGTCTTTCTCTGGGGCTGCATGAGTGCTGGTGTTGGGGGGGGCTTCATTTCATTGATGGTATCATGATTTCACGTATATACTGCTCAATATTGAAAGAGAAGATGCTACCATCACTCCATGCCCTTGGTCGTCGTGCACTTTTCCAAAATGACAATGATCAATAACATACTAAGGCCACTGTTGCATTACTGAAGAAGAACAGAACAGGGTGAAAGTGATTCAGTTGCCAAGTATATCTCCTGATCTAAACCCAATCGAACACCTATAGGGAATTCTGGAGAGACAAGTTGAGCATCACTCTCCATCCAGCATCCAAGCTCTAAAAGAGGTCGTTCTTGAAGAATGGAAAAATATAGATGTTGCAATATGTCACCAACGTGTTCATTCCATGCCTAGAACACCTGGTGCTGTCCTTACAAATCCAGGAGGTCATACAAAATACTAGATGTAGTAGTTTTTGTTGTGGGGTGTATTCATTTTTGCATCAACTAATTTGAGTAAAACTGTAGATTTTGTAATCTAAGCTATATTATTATCCTTATTTTCATGTAATGAGCTAAACAAGTGTTCTATAAAACTCAGTTTTATCAAAATTTTGGAAATTGTTCTTGTGTTCATTGAGATATTGATTAAAATCTTACTTTTCAAAAGGGGTGTACTCATTTATGCTGAGCACTGTATATATACATATAGCATTATAATGCTGGGTTTAAAGTAGAACTATAGGCAAATGTTTGTTTTTCTTTTCATTTTAAAGCAAGAGTGGGTCCCTGTCATAATTTTTTTTTATGCCATCTGTGTCCTATTTCATAGATTTCACTTCAGTTCCTGTCCCATAGCCAAACAGGAAGTGAGAGGAAATCCCTTCAAATTAAGGGTTACCAGAACTTTGTGTCCCCATTGGAGGATTTCCCCTCTATTAATTTTCTGGGGACAACCCAAAATTTAGGATTTTATTTGCTTTCACTTTCAACGATGATGTAAACAGGACAAATAGGAAGGGTGAATCTCCTTATCCACTTTCCCTCCAGAGGATTTACCCCCTTCCTGATCAGGCCATTTTTTGCGTTATGGAACTGTGTCAGTTTTAAGTGACAATTGTGCTGTCATGCAACACTGCACCCAAATGAAATTTTATGTCCTTTTTTCCCACAAATGGAGCTTTCTTTCGGTGGTATTTGATTGCCTGTGCATTTTTATTTTTTTTTTGCGTTATAAGCAGACCAACAATTATGAGAGAAAAAAACAATATTTTTTGCTATTATACATGTCCAGTAAAAAAAGATTTTAAAAAAATCAAATTTCGTCAAATGTATTCCGCTACATGTCTTTTGCTAAAAAAAAAAAAAAAAAATCCCAATATGTGCAAATTAATTGGTTTCCTTGAAAGTTATAGCATTTACAAATGGACGCACGCACGCACGTACGTACGTACGTACGTAATGGCGACAATCAAACATTTTTCGTCCAGAAGACACAGCAGGAAGTAAGAGGAAATGTCTTAGATTGTAAGCTCCGAGGAGCAGGGCCCTCCTAACCCTCTTGTATTGAACTGTATTGTTGCTGTATTGTCTCCCTTTATATTGTAAAGCGCTGAGCAAACTGTTGGCGCTATATAAATCCTGTATAATAATAATCTCCCCTCAAGTGAACAAAACTCTTGTCTATGACCGGTGTCCCCAGAACATTTACATGCTACAAAACTACTTTGTGGTTGTTTTTCTTTCAGTGCCACCTAATGTGTTCTGTTTTCATGTTAACATGGCGTACAGCTTAGTTACAGAGAGCTATGTATGTAGGTACAAGCCCTAAACATAACAGCTTTCAGTGCTTCACAGTCCCTTTGAATTCAGGAAACAAGGAAGAAAGGGCAATAGTGATGACTGAGTTAGTGCACAAACACGGCAACTCTGTGAGTTTGGAGTTTATTTTATGCAAATATCCTGGTGAATTAAAAGTTTGCAAACCAAAGATTGTACTAATGTGTGCTTAGACTTTCATAGAGAATAGCAAATATACATGGACCTAAGGTCAGCTAATCCTAGACACGGTATTCAGTTGGAAGTGTGGTGTGTGTATAATTTTTTGTAAAATTACAGGCCTTGTGCGTAGAATTATTATAGGGGGGATTTACATAGCGCCAACAGTTTGCTCAGCGCTTTACAATATAACGGGAGACAATACAGCAACAATACAGAATTAAAAACGACACCACTCACATTTATTTTGTCAGTAATTTTTATATAACAACGTGGCAAGTCTGATTGCTGTGAGAAAGATTCCCTTTCCTGTCCCTCTATGTTTGATACACAAAACCTTATAGGCTCTCACACTGACTTCAACATGGAAGTTGACATAATACAGTATACTGTTAATCATGTATGAATTCAGCTTGCCATCGCTCATTTTTCCATGTTCTTACTTATGTATGTTTCTGGTTGGATTAACACACTGTCCTGTTCACTTTTTTTTTTTTTTTTTTTTTTTTTTTTTTTTACTGAACAGGAAACCTCGGAAAGATGAGAATCTAAGCGAAGAGGCTGCCAAAGTCATAGCCAGCCTTCCTGACCTGTCTTTCATGCATGCCAAGGTGTTGATGTTCCCTGTCTCATTAACACCTTCAACAAATTCTCAAGACAAGGTAGACTGATCAGACGAGAAAAAAAAATAAATCCAAAAAGCATTGGATGTTTTATATCCAAAACTTTTTAAAGAGGAAGAAAGTGTCTGCTTCATACAATCACTTTAGATGAAGTGTTGGTAAGCAGAATGACAAAGGGTATATATACACTCTGATGTATAGTTCAACACTGAATCCTTCATTTATATAAAATTATTCCAATTAATTTGTATATAAAGGCAAGGGGAACTTTTTTTTCTGATGTGCTGGGTTACATACACTGGTGGATCCTTTCTTAATAAAAAAAATCAAAAACAGACAAACGTGAACATGCAAAACCTTCACTGCCTGTGAGCCTGTTGCGGTGACATCATCTCCCCCTTTTCCAGTTGTATTACTGTTGTTGTACTGTTACATATACGTGTTCAGTGTTCATTTTATGTGTTAATTTGATTTAAACAGATGTGGAGCTGACAGTGCATAACCCACCCTCTGTGAACGACCACCCAGCAGGGGCAGAGATTGGGTTAAAGCATAACACTTAACTTTCTGGCAAATGTACTCTATTACAAAAGGTAGCAATAAAGTTAGCCTCTTTTTGTGGGTACAGTTGGGTCCACAAGTTGTGGACTTTTTATCAGTCTGTTGTGCTCATAACAACCTGTAGTATTCTGCCTTTCACTGTACCCCATTCTGTGCTTTGAGACGGAAGGGGAGGATGTGGTTGCAGTGGGCAACCTAGACTAAAGCTGGCCATATAATCATAGATTTTTTTAGTTCAGCCTTTTGCTCCTCTATCCACACAGTGCAGTTTGATGAATTTCCCCTGCTGGCTACTGTATTCTGACAGCTGGCATTGGCAACTGTCAGAAGAACAGTGACTGCAGATAATTAGCTGCATTTGCTGTTCGGCTGACCGTTTTTCCACCTGGCTTTTTTGGGTTTTCAAACAAAGGAGGTTGGGCAGAGTGGGGCTGACAGGTCCACCCACTGATTGAATTTCAGCCAGTTCATCAGGAACCGGACTAAATTCGCTGTGTATGGCCATCTTAAAGCTGAAATATAGTATATATTTTTTTGGGATACAGCACCAAACATTCATTATATGTAATGGTGTGCCTCCCATTAAATGCAGACAACTGCATCTGTGACAAAAAAAATATATATATATTTCTCACTATGCCTTTTCAGAGCCATTTGATACCGCCCTGAGCGGCTGTCTTCCAACACTGTGAAGGTTAACAGACATGCATGCTACTGAGAAATGTTGCACTGGTCTGCCCATCCCCTTTTACCCTGTCTGCCATTTTATATTGCTTGTATGACAACTCTCCTATTATGCATCCCCTTCCATGAATGGGCAAAGGAGATCCTCTCATTCATCTGCTCCACTATGATGGGATAGTGGGACAATAATAGTATGAGTTTTGTGAGTGGTGAAAAGCCAGGTGGTGCAACTTTTCTCAGTAGCAGTGGCTGCTGTTAACCTTCACAATGCTGAAAAACAGCCACTCACAACAATATCCATTGACTGAGGAGGCACATAAGGTAACATTTTTAGCAGAAGCAAAAGCTTGTGGGTAATGGGATACAGACTTCTACACATAAGTGATATATTTGGTGCTGTCTCTCAAAAATAAATAATTAGAACTTTAAATTTGGTCATGAGTCAAGCTTTAATTGACCAGGCAGAATATTTCATCAAACGAGATCTTATTGATTTAAAGACAATGATTCCTACCTGCAAACTGTTTAAACATTTTATATTTTACATAGATTTTCCAACTTTTTTTTCTTTTCAGTTAGCACTAATACAGTACTGGTTTTGTAATAAATGAGTACTATTGTTTCCTATTGAAAATATTAAAATGTTGCTGCTGTTCTGTGGGAACTGTAGGTACATTAAAGGCTTTGTGACTTTGAGAAGTTAATAGATCAGCTAATAGGCTAAGTGTCGGGACTCCATATAGGGGCCCCAAAGTTGCTTTTTAGGCCCCCCCCCAGGTCATTATAAATCTGTAGTATTCAGGACTACATTTTGGGGAGTACAGCAAACTGTAACCTGAGATCCCAAGACAGATATATTATAGTATTTAGCGAGGCCATAGATGATTCATTTTCTATTCAACCAGCAGCTTGAAGGAATAAAACTAATCTGATTCCTTCATCTACACATTTGAGGTGGGTGGGGAAATTGCTCCCACTGGGCTTTTGTGTTCTGATGGAGCAGAGTCTCCCCCACTGTCAGAATCCACTGACCAGCATTGCCGGTTATATTTCAATCAACTATAGCTGACCAAACGGCATTTACCTGACAGGCTGGTTGTACAAAAGTGAATTGGTAGATCGAAATTCAGCTATCTTCAATCCATGTATGGCCGGCTTTAGGGGGGAAATTTCAGATTGCCAAGCACAACTGCTAAATCTTATCTAAACAGATATATTATTTTTTTTTAACTGAACAAAGTGGACTTTTCAAACTTCTGTACACACATAAACAAGAAAACATAATATATATTGCTTCCAAAGTGTATCAATTTACTTTACGGTCTTACAAGATCTGATTTGTCAGAGGGGTAGAGTTGTTCTTTAAGGGATTGTCCACTAGGACAGGTTATTTAACAGGGTTTTTACAATCAAGCCATTAGTTCACACCTATCAATACTGTCTGTCCTGCTCCATTTTGTTTCTGTGTGTTAAAAATTAAATTGAGATGATTGGGGCTTAATATTTGGGTTTTAAGAAGGACCAAAATAATATGAATGTGTTTTATGAAGAATTTGATTAATGTTCTTTAGCTTTTTTTTTTTTTTTTTTTTAAATTTTTATTTTTGTGTCTGTTGTTGTACCACTATCCTTCTGATTTGCACAGTGTAAAAAAAAAAGCATAATCATAGGTTGCTATGGTTTAGGTTGTATATACATAGAAGACTTTGGGATGTAAATTTATGGGAGAATTCCTATGGAAAAAAATGAAATTGATCTGTAGCAGCAAGGTTCACGTGCATGCCCAAGTTCTTATGAAATGTAAGCGTGTACATTTTCTTTTAGCTTACACAAGAATTAAAAAAAGTTTAAAAAAAATGAGTTTTGTTTTTTTCTGATATTCATTATTTCAACCCATATTTCTTTATTTCCCTTCTCTGCTCTTTATTTGCACTCATGTGTTCTTATATGCTGAAGCATTTATGTGTTGTAGAAGGACTCGCAATGTTATGCTTCTCCACCTCCCTGTTTGATCCAATGTTTTCTGTGCCATGCTCCATTAAAACTTTTCATACTAACTACTATAAAACATTAACTAAAGGCAACACTTGTTTTTAGTTTTAGATAGAGTGGAGAGGAAATAGAACACCTTTCAGGTTTTTATTGTCTTCTGTGCCTGTTAGGGAATTCACTCTCTCTATTTGTCATGTTTACCGTTATGACCGAAAGTGAATGTAAAAGAAAATCCCAAATTTTGGGGACACTAGTTTTGGTGACCTCACTTTTGGAGGAATTTCCTTTGGCTATAGGATAGGAAGTGAAGAAAGAGCTCCCTGTTGGGATACAGATAGCAAAAATAAAACTGAGGGGGTTATAACCCTTCTTTACTCAATCCAAAATTAATAAAAAAAAGCTTTGCCTTAGTTCTACTTCAAGAAACCTGTATAATCTCTATATAAAGAGGACAAGCTATGAAACTCCAGGAGCTTTGCATAGACCCACCTGTCCAATCATCGTGATTTCAAGACAATATTGGAAGGCAAAGGCATTTGAGGTTGCAGCCTTATTGAAAAGCCTGGTACATCTACCTAATTAACAGACTTCTTACATGTGTTAGATATAGATGAAGATAATGATAAACAAATGCTTCACTTTATTAGGGGGGCAGTGTCCGTGTCCAGCAAAAGCTCCTTATATTGGTTGTCTTTATGAAAACTGTGATGCACATGACAACACCAGGCAGAAAGGGCATGATAGTGAGAATATTGAAAGGCTTGGTTATCAGATTAGGTGTGGATTCTTATACAAAAGTCCATAATCAAAGGTAGCCATACCTGGGCAATGCAGTACAGAGGGGAGACAATCCAGGTCCCAGAAGAAACAACCAGCTACAGAATGACTGGAGACAGTTAATGCTAGGTGGGTACTTACGGCTGTGCAGACTGGGTGTTAGTTCCATATCCAAGAACAGTCCAAGGATACTACAAGTCTACAAGTGATCTGGCCCAAGGTATCTCTGCTGTTCCATCCTGCAGGCATAATGAAGCAAATAAAGGGCAGGGGTTGGGGGGAGGTCTGCTCTGTGTAGTATCCAGTCCACAAAGCTAGTTATCTACAAAGTCTGCCAGCAGAAATAGCCATTCTGTAAGGGGAGTAATTTCTGGGGATATCAAATAGAAATGGTGTTGCAACTTACCACTTTCCAACTGTTCCATAGACTCTCCTTGTCCAGCTGCTGCAACCAATAACCTCCTGACCATCTGAGCTCCTAGCCTTTATGATTTCCCCCTGCAAGTATGCACAGGGCTGTGCTAGTGTGCAAAGCCAGCTGCCTGCTCGTTTCCTATCAGGAACACTTCACTAAGTTCTAAAATGTTCAAGACAAAATAGCCTGTAAAAGGAAGTCCTGTTGGGTACAATAAGAGGCTACAAACTTCTAGAATGCTGTAGGTCAGTTGTGCTCAGGTCATGGCCTGCTGATTCCTCTCATGTGGCCTCCTGTGACCTCATGCTCTGGGATGGTAGGTTGGCTAGCCCAGATCGCAATCAACGGGTTGCCGGCCCGCCATTCCATAGCATAAGAGAGCATGGTGCAGGCAGTGGAGGAAGCAAGCGGCCACAGGAGCCGCATGAGCCGATGCTTCCTACGTAGCTCCGGCTTCTGTCCCAGGCAGAGTTATACCAAGTGCACTTTGCTTGGAACCTTTCCAGCAGCCTGGAGAGCAATGCCAGCAGAAGCTGGAAGAGGAAAATGTCAGTGTATTAACCACTTTCCCACCTCCCTATAGCAGAAGTACTGCTACAGGATGGCAGGGCTGCACAAA